ATTCATCTTAGATGCCCATTTTTGGATTGAGTCTCTAAATTTGGGAGTTCTGATTTTGTGTGTGTGTGTGTATGTGTGTGTGTGAGTTCTTTATACATTCTCAATAGTAAACCTTTAAGTAACATCCAACAAGCATTTTTTCCCACATTGTGGGTTGTGTCCTCACTCTGTTAATCATTTCTCTTGCTGAGCAAAAGCTTTTTTTTTTTTTTTTTGCAGAACCAGGGATTGAACTCAGGCCCTTGTGCTTGCCAGGGAAGCACTTATTCCACTAAGGCATCTCCCCAGCCCTGCAAAAGCTTTTTAATAAGATGAGACCCTACTGCTTGATTCTTTGTGATAGCTCCTGTGTGCTTGGTTTTTTTTTTTAATTTTAATTTTATTTTCTTTGTGGAACCAGGGAATAAACTCAGGCCCTTGCGCTTGCCAGGGAAGTGCTTACTCCACTGAGCCATCTCCCCAGGTGGGGTTTTATTCATACAGTCTTTGCTTACACCAATGTCTTCAAGAGTTTTACATATTCTATGTTCCAGCAGATTTATGTTTCTATTCTAATATTCAAATCTTTGTCCCATTTCAAATTTAGTTTTATGCAAGGTAAAAGATTTGGGTATGTGGACAGCTCGGCAGTCTAAGCACCTGCTCGGCAAGTGCAAGGACCTGACTTTGATCCCCAGTACTGCATGCTGTGCCAGCCCCAGAACTCTGGGTGCACTGTGCTGGCCACCGAAACTGGGAGTGGTGGTGTATGCCTGTAATCCCAATGCTGGAGAAGCTGAGACTGCAGGATCACTACGAGTCTGAGCTGCACTGTGAGGCCCTGAATCAAATACATAAATAAGTAAAAATATTTCTTAATGTTTTTTACAGAAGATATGGATGCAATTTTAATTTCTGACATATGCAAAGCCAGTTTTTCCAGCACCATTTATTAAAGAGGCTATCTTTCTTTCAGTATATGTATTTGGACCCTTTATCAAATATAAGATGGTTGAAAATGTCTGAATTTGTTTCTGCATGTTCTAGTTCATGCTATTGTCTTTAGGTCTTTCCTTGCCAGTTTTGTTTGCAAGTAGTTCTATAGTATAATTTCAAATCAGGGATTGTCATGCCCCATGCCTTCCTTTTTTTTTTTTTTTTTTTTTTTGCCCAGAACTGCTTTTGCTAATATAGGTCTCTTCTGGATCCAAATGAATTTTAGGATTGTTTTCTTCAATTCTGTGAGATATGCTGCTGGAATTTGGACTGGAATTCATTAAATCTGTAGAACAGTTTTGGAAGAATGACCATTTTCACTATCGTGGTTCTTCCTATCCAAAGCAAGGGATATTCTTCCATTTTCTGATATATATTTCAATCTTCTTTTTCAGAGTAGTCTTCAACAGAGGTCTTTTACATCTTTCATTAGATTCCTAGGTATTTAAAATTTTTTGGACATTATTGTGAAAGGAGTTGTTTCCTTAATTTCTCTCTCATTGAGCTTGTTATTTGTATATAGGAAGGCTATCAATATTTGAGTGTTGACTTTGTATCCAAGTACACTACTAAATTTGCTATTTATTTAAATCTAGCAGTTTTTTAGTGTTTTGGGGGATCTTCTATATAGAGTATTATGTTCCCTGCAAATAGTGATAATTTCACTTCTTCCTTTCTTATTGTTATTCCTTATATTTCTACCTCTTGTCTAATTGCTCTGGCTAAAGTTTCCAGGAGTATGCTGAATAAGAGTGGAGCCAGTAAACATTCTTGTCTTGTTCCTAATTTACGAGTGAAAATTTTCAGTTTTATCTATTTGGTATGATATTGACTGTTGGTTTATCAGAGATGGCTTCTTTCAGAGTAAGATAAAGACCATTAATTTTAATTTTTTTGTACAGGTTTTTATCATGAAAAGATGCTGGACATGGTCAAAAGCTTTTTCTGCAGCTACTGAAATGATCTTTTTTTTTTCTCCTTTAGTCTGTTAATATAATGTATTGCATTTATTCATTTATGTGCATTGAACTAGTCCTATATTTCTGGGATGAATCCCACTTGGTCATTGTACATAGTTTTTTTGATGATTTGCTGCATTGTGTTTGCCAGTATGTTATTGAGGATTTTTGCGTCTATGTTCATTAAGGAGATTGGCCTACACTCTTTTCTTTGTTGGGTCATGCACATAAAAAAGCTTCACAAAAAGAGTGCATGGGTCTGTCTGTGACTGTGACCACTAGAAGCCATGATCATGTGTTAAAGTAGGAAAGATGGTTGTATGTTCATCACTAAATGTGGAGTTCATGAACAGAAGCAAACTTTGAGTGGTTCTGATCATGAACCAAACTGTTTTCAAAAACAGAAGAGTTTGTGTTTGAAGTATTACTGTATTCACTTAGAAACATGAGAGAACAAAATGGGAGCCAGAAGCAATGTTTGAAAATGTAATGCATGGAATTAACCTGCCTTTTTTCTTGTACATATTTGTTCTTCAGAATATTCACACTCTTTTGTGCCACAGCATGGAAAGGAATTTAAGAGTCCCCATAGCCATTATTTTAGGAGGTTTTTCTCTGAGAAGCTAAAACTATTATTTTATCCTTTCTTTTATTTGAGAAGATGGCTGAGAATTTTCTAGAACTCATGAACCGTGTCAATCCATATATTCAAGAGGTTCAGTGAATATGAGATAAATATCTTAAAAGCAGCCATAGAAAAAGAACCATTACTATCAAGAAAATAGCCCCAATTACATCTGACTTTGCACAGGCAACATCAGAAGTCAGGGTGAACTTTGGAATGACTTTTGTACTCCAACATAAAGTACTTCTATTGTCACACCTTCTCCGGTTCTTTTACCTCCCTCTTTCATTTATAAGTACCCCAGGCAAAGAAAATGTTCCTGTCTCAAGAACCCTAATTTAATCTATCTGCAAAGTCTCTTTTACCTTGCAGGGGAGGGCTGAAGCTGGAGATGGATCAAGATGGGGGTAGAGCAAGGCCAGCCTCAAGGAAAGTCACATAAGTAAGTGCTCTAGTCTCAAGAACACTGGGTACCTGGATGAACTATTAGGTGGGAGGTTGCACATGATATTAAACCTTCCCAGTGTATAAATAAACACACTGCAGACCTTGGTGCTCTCCCTCCTTCTCCTTCTCCACTTCCTCCCCCTCCTTTCCTTACTGCCCTCAGAAGAGAGGGCTCCATATGGTCTGTTTTCTCTACTCCAACTCTTGTTCTTTTTTCTCCACCTTCTCACTGTCCTCACCCTGGGACGCAGCATAAGGTAACATACTCAGATTCCGGGGATCAGGGTATAAATATCTATGGTGGGTCATTATTCTGCCTTCCATACCACCCATCTAAAAAATGCAATCACTCTTGAGTGGCTTTTTCAATAATGCTTCATGGGAAGCAAGCAAGTAGGTGTTTCCAAGCAGAAAACTACAGGGCACTTTGCATATTACACCATCTTATTTAATCTAACATCAACCTGCAAGCGTGGGGAGGTAGACATTATTACATTCTGATATTAAATTATGAAGATAAAAGCAATTTGACTGAGGTCACCTAGCTGGTTAAATGCCCGACTACAAGTTTGTACCCACATTGCAATAGACCGGTGTCCATGGCAACCAAGCTTTTTGTACCATACCAAGTACAGCTGTTGCTTGGCTTCTTACGATTTTTGCTAAGTCCGAAGAAACACTCTCAGGTGACCAGTTCAATGGCTTACGTTGTATTAGGCCTATTCTCTCACTTGTACAGCGAGATGTTCGGACCTAATGATACCCTTTTTAGCTCCTCCAGGTGTGGGCCTAAGAGGGAAGCTTTTGGCCTCAAGACACCTCTTCCTTGTTGTGTGAGTGAGGTAAAAGTTAGAAGCAACTGAACTATGCAAAGAAAATCTGCTATACAACAAAGCAGGAAAAATGAGTTAATAAAGGACAGCAGGGAGGAGAGATAAAAGGAGCCAAATACACTGAAAAGTGAGATGGAGCTATATACAGTGTGCAAATAACTCAAGATACTCACCAGGATCTAGCAGTTATGATGCAAATACGAGCCTAAGAACCTGAAGATGCTGGCATAAGACACTGGTTTTAATTTTGAGCTGTTCACAGAGAGCTCGAGGGTTACGTATGGTGTTTAATCGTGAACATATAACTCCTACTTCTAAGCCCTGGACATGAAATCTGGAAAGAAAACTGGAAATGATTTTTTAAAAAATAATATCTGTGTGCTAGAGGCCACGTGAACGTCTCCGGGAGTGAGCGGCAGCCACTGCTGAACCGACGCCCACTGGGACGCGGCCCGCCCCCGGCGCACACAAAAGAAACGGCCGGCGCCGCGCCCCTCCGCGCCGGGCCGCAGCCCGCTCGCC